TAGTTCCTCCAAGCCCTAGAACCAGTTTAGAACTCCTTCAGTGACCCAGATTCGGGACTTTTCTCTGTTTTTTTTGCTCATGGTTGGATGTTTGTTTTTCTTTTTGTGGTCTGTTTTGTAGAAACATCTCCTAATCAATGACAATGTGCTTTGTTTTCTCTTGTTCTATGAAACTTCTGATCTTAGTAGATAAATTTCTGTGAAGCTGATTATTGATTAACTAAATCATGTTTTCACTTGCAGTTGCCCCAGTGGCCATGAGTAATAATTAACATCTGGGATTCTAATAAAATGCAACTTTTCGATGATGCCAAAAGGGGGAAGAGATATTGTGCTTTACTTTGTATTCTGAAAAATGTGATGTTTATAACCTGATTAAACCTGGTCCTTAATGATAAGTTAAATTAAAGTGTGAAAATTAAGCTGAGTTCCACAGGGTCTCTGATCAATAAAAGCACAGAGTTTTTCATCATCAAAAAGGGGGAATTTGTTGGCCCAAGTTCAGATGAAGTTTTGAAGATTGACAAAATGAACTCAGTCATGAACCAGGTCCATCATGTGAGACACAGTGTTGATATGCTTACACATGTGACATACTGTGAAGAAGATAAGTCTCAAGGATCAGCAACAATATCTTCAGAGTTGATCGAAAAGGTTGCATAGGATAAGGAGTTGAAGTCTCCTTATGAAAAGAGAATTACATCCGGATCAAGAATATGGATTAGGAGTTAGAGTTGTTCTTGGACTCGAATTGTCAAAGGATCCACAATTCGAGTTCTTATCAAACTCTGATTACTAACTCTATAAATATAACGATTGTTCTCTTTTACAGGTGAATGCACATAAGCAGAAGTTAAGCATATTTGAGAGCAAAAAAGATCAAGTCTGATTTGCAAGCAACATATGCGAGATACAAGTGTGCACGTCTGAAGCTACATGAACTAAGATAGAAGAACCAGTTTCATCATTGTGTTTATTCTAAGTCTAGTTCAATTGTAGTAGGTTTTCATATTGTACCTTTCAGCTTTATCTAGAAGCAATTGTAATAGGTATATTGAGTATTCAAGTTAGAGTTAACTTGAAAGTGTCGCAACAGTTGAGGCTGTGTGCTACACTGGGATTAGAGTTAATCCTTAGGTTTACAAAGAGTTTTGTAAATGCAGTTTTTGGCTCAGTGATTTTAGTGGAGTTTGGGAAAATCCTACTGAGTAGTAGGTCGTGGTTTTTTCACCTTTTGAGCCAGGTGTTTTCCACGTAAAAATCTCTGTGTACTTTACTTTCAGTATTTATTATTCCGCAAACTGCTGTAGTTAGAACACTTAGAAGAACCAGGTTCTTCTAACGCGAAAATTAGGTACCACACAAATCACCCCCCCTCTTGTGTGGTATTGACGTTTATAATATCACACAATCTAATGGAATTGCGGAGAGAAAGAATCAAACGTTGAAAGAGATGATGAATGCGTTTTTGATAAGTTCTGGTTTACCACAGAACTTGTGGGGGAAGCTATACTTACAGCTAACCGAATAATCAACCGTGTACCTCATAGTAAAACACAATCCACTCCTTATGAAAAATGGAAATGAAGGAATCCCAGCTTGAAATACTTCAAAGTATGGGGGTGTTTAGCTAAGGTACAAGTTCCTAAACCTAAAAGGGTTAAGATAGGTCCAAAAACGTTTGATTGTGTATTTATTGGATATGCAACCAATAGTAAGGCATATCATTTTCTGGTTTATAAATCAGAAAATCTCAAGATTCAAGTTAATACGGTGATAGAATCAGATAGCGCTGAATTGTTTGAAAATATTTATTCGTATAATAAGAAAAGTGGTTTGTCCTACGAAAAGTCCAACTCACCTCGGGAAAAAACAACGAATATTGTTCCTAATGAGGAAAATTCGAGAAGAAGTAAACGTCAAAGGACATCCACTTCATTTGGTCCAGACTTCCTGACATTCTTGCTAGAAAATGAGCCTCGAACTTTTAAGGAAGCAATGTCTTCTTCAGAAGCACAATATTGGAAAGAGGCGGTCAATAGTGAAATAAAATCCATATTGAACAACCACACTTGGGAATTGGTTGATCTTCCTCCAGGGAACAAAACTTTGGGTTCTAAATGGATTTTCAAAAGGAAAATGAAATATGATGGTACTATTGACAAGTATAAGGTAAGACTTGTTGTCAAAGGATCTAGACAATGAGAAGGTCTTGATTATTTTGACACATACTCGCCGGTAACAAGAATTACATCTATTCGGATGTTGATAGCTTTAGCCGCGTTGTATAATCTTCAAATCCATCAAATGGATGTTAAAACAGCCTTCTTAAATGGTGACTTGGAGGAAGAAATTTATATGCACCAACCTGAAGGGTTTGTGATTCCTGGGAAGGAAAATAAGGTGTGTCGACTTGTTAAGTCACTACATGGACTAAAACAAACACAGAAACAATGGCATGCGAAATTTGATCAAACAATGTTGTCAAATAGATTCAAGATTAATGAGTGTGATAAATGTGTTTACATTAAGGACACTCCAAATCATATAGTCATTGTTTGTTTGTATGTTGATGATATGTTAATAACGAGCAAAGACATTGCCGACATACAAGCAACTAAGCGTATGCTTGCTAGTAAGTTTGACATGAAAGACTTAGGAGTCGCCGACTTGATTCTAGGAATTAAAATCCAAAGAACTCCTCAAGGTCTAGCTTTGTCACAAACTCATTACGTGAAGTCGGTACTTGAACAATTCAAACGTTTGGAATTTAAAAGTGCAAGAACTCCAATTGACTTGAACCATAATGTTGTAAAGAATAAAGGTGAGAGCACGTCTCAATTGGATTATGCTCGTGTGTTGGGAAGCCTAATGTACATAATGAACTGTACACGTCCCGATATAGCTTGTGCGATAAGTAAACTTAGTCGATTCACAAGTAATCCCAACAAGCACCGTTGGGTGGCAATGAAACGAGTTTTGGGATACTTAGAATATACCCAAGACTATGCCTTGCATTACAACAAATATCCTGTGGTTATTGAAGGATATAGTGATGCAAATTGGATCACCGGCTCAACAGCAACAAAATCCACAAGTGGATACGTGTTTACTGTTGGCAGAGGAGCAGTATAATGGAAGTCATCCAAACAGACATGCATAGCTCGCTCTACAATGGAATCAAAGTTTATAACTTTGGATAAAGCCGGTGAAGAAACTGAATGGCTCCGGAATTTCTTAGAAGACATTCCATTCTGGCCCAAACCTTTGGCTCCTATTTGCGTACATTGCGATAGTGAGGCTGTGTTAGGACGAGCAAGGAGTGTTATGTATAAGGGAAAGTCTCGTCACATAAGACGCAGACATAGAACCGTTAGACAACTACTTTCTAGTGGAATTATCACAATTGATTATGTAAAATCAAAGGATAATGTGGCAGATCCGCTTACAAAAGGCCTAACTAGAGAGGGAGTTAAGAAATCATCTAAGGGAATGGGACTATGGCCGAGGACAAGTCATCATGGCGGTAACTCTACCTGAATTTTTGGAGGTCCGAGATCTAGGTTCAAGGAGCGCAAACAAAGTTATGCATGACCGGTTCAACATTGTTAAATATAATATTTTGGTCCATTCTCGTGACGAAGACAATATTCAGTAACAATGATAAAATATTTTCTAATGATTACCTAAGTTTAATGTGGTTTTTATCAAATAGTGTAAATCTATAGGATTACACGTTTAGGAATCACCTATGTAAGTGTGAAGTGTAAGTCGCTTCAAGGAGAATTCTGTAAGGCCGATTCTCTACGCACTTATGAGACCAGATGGTGTTCATGGCTGAAACGAACACAACAATGAGAATCAAAAGACAGTTAAGGGTCGATTGTGTGACATATGGTTGTTTAGGTATACACCAAAGTTCGATGGTTCAAAGATATCAAATCTATCGATTGACCGAGTATACCCGACATATGTTCACTATGGAAAGTTCAAAGGGAAACCTACTTATCCAGATACGGTCGATCTTTTCTTGCGAATCACACAATTTCCATGTATGTTTCTTCTTTATATAGCCATTCCCCATTCATGTGGGGGATTGTTGGACTTTTAAGCCATTGGGCTTTAAAGATGAGTGGTGTGAATTGGGTAATGGTGGGAAATTAAATGGACCGGGTTGGGCTTCAAAAACTGACCTGGTTTATTTGGTTAAACTAGTTGATCCAGTTTAATAAGTAACGTTAAAAGAACCTTAAAAGAAAATACATTGTCTTCCTATCACATGTCTATTTAGAGTGAACAGACACCATACCTTTTCACAAAGCCAACATTTGCCTATAAATTCAGGCATGGCTTCCATTCTAAAAAACTCAGAAATTCAGAAACTACATAATCACTTTCCCTCTCACTGCAAGGTCATTAATCCAAAAAGTCTTGTGCTTTCTTGTTCCTTGAAAATTGTAAGTGTGATTCGCTCCGCTCTTTGAGTTCGTTGGTATCCTGCTTCTAGTATTGCCACTGTCGCAGGAAGGTTTATTCCGTTTTATCGTGGGAGGATTTAATCCATTACCTCGGCAACTGTAAGGGGTTATTAAGGACACACAAGCAAATTGTGCACTCGAAATTATTTATTCTATTTCTTCTTCCTCTTGTTTTTCTTAACAATGTTGATTTTGGTTTAATACAGTTGCCTAACAAGCACAACTGCACAAGTGTGTGTCTTATTCAAGTCCATACCCCAGTAGTTAATATTCTTTTGTTGGGTAGTGTTGGCAAATGAGGGGCCATATGCTATGGTTGTGGCTACAAATTCTCCAGTTTTGCATGTCTACTCTTTCCTTCACCAATCACTACATCCAATTTCAGTAAGGACCCCTCTTTCCCTTTAGCCAAATCCACTTCCTCTAACCCCACTCCCTTTCCCCTCCTACTCTCTCTGTACTCTGTAGCAAAGGTAAGTCTTTTTTCCTTTACTGTTATTGACTTAATTCCCTCATATCTATCTTTCTTGTTCCAAGATTAAGTTTTTCTAGTTGCTTTGCTTATTTTTTCATGTGGGGTGTTCATCAAATTCCAAGATTGCAGCTTTATTATTATCACCTCATTTTTTTCATTAGTGGTGCCTCTTTGTTGCTGAAACTGAGGTTTTTCTATGCTTGCTTAGATTTATTTTGATTGGTTTCATGTGGGTGTCTATCAAAGTCCAAGATTTCAGCTTTATTATTATCACTTCATTCTGTTTCAATAGTGGTACCTCTTTGTTGCTGAAACTGAGGTTTTTCTCTGCTTACTTAGCTTTATTTTGATTGGTTTCATGTGGGTGTCTATCAAATTCCAAGATTTAGCTTTTTTATCTTGTAACCGTGGTGTTCGGGTCACCTCTCGCGCAACTCAGACTAACTCCACATGGTAGCTGCTACCTACCACCAGCACAAACCAAGATTTCAACTTTATTTTTATCCCCTCACTATGTTTCATAAATACTACTTACCTCTTTGTTGTTGAAACAGAGCATTTTTTCTGCTTGCTGAGCTTTATTTTGATTGGTTTCCATTTGGGTGTCTATCAAACTCCAAGATTTTAGCTTTATTATCCCCACGTTCTGTTCATCAATAGGTACTTCTTGGTTACTGATACTGTGAAGATTTCTGCTTTGAATTTGGCTTAGTTTAAAGCAAATAGGTTGTTGTAGCTAATTGTGAAAAGATTTTGAACTGTTGCTAGGAAAAGAATAATGAGAAAGAACATAGATAACTACCTTTTCTATGGACTTCTACGGATGACTGGTGTAGTTCATTCAATGTGACAACATTTGATTGAAGATGGAGTTTAAAATGTTAATTTGGCTTGTCTATTACATTAGTGATAGCTCAAGGAAGTATAAAAGTAATGGTTAAAAGGAGGTTAGTTTGATGGATAACATTAATGAATTTGAATTCTTAAAAGTTGTAAAAGTTGGATGAAAATGACGCGTCAAACATTTTTCAAAATCCCGAGAAATCATATAGATTGGCTTAGAGGGGTACTAATCAATACCTAAATGGTTTCTTACAAAGGAAATAAAGATTTCTTAGCCTTGATTGAGTCTTTGGGTAAGAAAAGGAGATTTGACGGGACATAAGATAATTGTGGTCAAATCTTTAGTACTGATCTTCTGAGGGTTTTGTGAAGGCTAGGGTGCTTTAGTAAGACAAAGGTGCTTTTTTGGTGATCCTGATTGCCATTTACGATTGAAAAGTATTTAACTAATCTTGAATCCAATTTATTGTATAAAAATCCATGTATTTTGCTATAGTATAGTAAAAAGAGCTTGTAATTTGTATGAACAAGAGCAGTTGCCAAGTAGAAGCATAATTTGAGGGAAAGCTTACATTCTATCATTCTATAGAGTATGGACTCGAGTCTGAGTAAGAATGACATTGTTGGTCATTTGATTTTGATTTGTAAGACAAAGAAGAAATAGATATTGCTTGGTGCACTACCGTCAAATGTAACTCATCTTGATGGTGTGATAATTCATTATTTAGTAGATTGTTTACAATTTGATATTGGGAGAGTGCATTAATACCTTCCTTAAGCTACAACTTCAATATATGGAAAAATTCACACGAAGTTATTGCACCCATATTTTAAATGCATTTCACTTTAAACCACAATAGTTGAAATGCAAAATTACTTAAAATTTTGTAATTTGATTATCTGTTTTGTGGTACACTCCACCAACGAGGACATCGTAGAGTAACCTTTGTCTTTATTTACGTTAGTAACCATTTCGATACTAGACATTTATCTATAGTCTAAACTAAGAATCTTATTCTGTTAAAATTTGCTTTGCTTTCAGGTTTTTGGTTAATGCTTTGTTAAATATTTCTCTGCCTCTCTGGATATAGCCAGGAGATTTGCTAGTGGCTTGCGTGATATTGTAGATAACCATGGCTACCTCAAATGGAGTCATTTATTATTCAGCCAAATCACCTCAACACCCGAAGATTCACACCCACAGTCAAGGGATTGAACTTAGCAAACACAACAGATATTCTCCTATTCCAAGACTGAAGTTTTCTAATAGAGGGTTCTGGGAGGTGTGCGGAAAATTAAGCAACCGAGTCATCTTCAGGGGATCTCCCGTGTTATGTCGCTCAACAGAAACACCTGATACTGAGACAAAAGATTTTTCCAGAAACAGTGGTGATTATTCCAACATATCTAGGTAAGCATGGTTCAACAACAAATGGTCAATCAATACATACCAGCAAAAATATGAAAAGAACTGCTTACAAATGAAATATAAGCTGTGCAACAGTATCATTATTATTAGTTGTTGATCAAAGTCTGAACATTCATTAAGAAACTTGATGTTGGCTTCATGCGGAGGCATTTCCTTGTATTTGAGGAGGATGTTGTTACTTGTAGCTTACTATAATACCAATCATCTTTTGCTGCTAAAACATGATATCATTCTTAATACAGACTCCGTCATATACTTCTTTGCCTGATTTGAGCTATTGCACAAGATGGATTTGTAGATAGGGAATTGGACAGGATACTAACACTGGTTACCAAAAAATAGAAAAGGATACTGTAGTTGGTACAAGCTAGAACTTCTTTCTTTGTTCTATTATTAGACTGCTGTAAAAGAATAGGGACATTCAAAACACCTACGAAGGATCAATGATGTGTATTATGGACACAATCGATTCACTACTTCTTTCCTCTCCAACCTTTCCAAATCCTTCCTTACAAACACTATTGTAATGTTGCTTCTTGGGTTTCTTGTGTTGATATATATTTTGCAGTGTACAAGAAGATGATCATGCAATCACAGTTGGAAGAGTTATTCCTTCGAGTCAGGCGATTGCTGAAGCTTGTAAATTTGCTTACAACGATGCCAAATTTGTGAATGAAAGGGCTAAGAATGATATCGTGCTGCTTTCTCGGTACACTATGTGCCCCAGTTTGTGCATTATTTATTCAAGTCTTGCATCAGTTTAATATAATTAGTCCCTCCATTTCAATTTATGCTACAATGTTTGATTGGACCGCAACAACAACAAACCAAATTTAATCCGATAAATGGGTCTGAGGGGTACTGTTTACGCAGACCTTACCCCTACCTTATAGAGATAGAGAGGCTGTTTCTGATAGACCCTCCGCTTAAGGAACAATGGAGATAAAGCAACCAAGTAGCAAGGAATAGTAACACCAATGTAATATGGCAAGGGGCGCGAATGCCACAGCATGTAATAATAAAGAAACATGAATAAGAAATTACAAAAATAGTCCTATTACTACTGGTAAGCCTAGGAGGAACACACTACTATCTGTCAACCTACAACCCTAATCCTCGACCTCCACTTTGATGAGACCGCAGAGTTTAAGAAAGAAAGACTTTTGGAACTTGTGGTATTAAACATGCCATGAGGTTTTTGAGGCTATAAAAACATTCCATAAAGGGTAAAATGGGAAGTTTAAGTGAAATTGTTCCCAAATATAGAAAGGTGTCATTCTTTTTGGAACAAACTAATAAGGAAATAGTGTCACGTTTAATGGAATTGAGGGAGTACTTTATACACCCAGAAAGCCTCAGAGGGGTCCAAAAACTTGATTATTGTCTTCACCGGCCTTTTCCCCCCGGTTATTATTGATAAAGAAAAGCATTCTGCCATTTGCTGGTATTTTGGGAGTTTGTCTATCTTTTACTTTTGGTTTTGTGAATTTGTGAGAAGACTTCTTTAGTTTTGAATTGAGGGCAATATATGAGGATATAATTTATGAGGCTCCACTTAGGTAGAAGGAGGACTGGCTCGCTGATGAAAATGAGATTTTGATACCGTTGACTTCACCGTAGAATCAATCTGAATGTTTTTTGAGAGATTAGAATTCATTTAACAATGGAAAATTGAGAGATAATTAGTGATTATGAACCATTTGGGAAGTGTCTGTTTGATGTTTGCTACCTCAAGTTGTTCTACTCATCGGCCGAAAGCCATTTGCAGTTATCGTTTCCGCTATCATAATTTCTGGTTATTGACAAATGCCTCTATATATCATCTTCGAAAACTGCTTTATGATGTGAAATACGATACATTAGCTCCATGTGGAATACCTTCTCAATTTATTTTTACCTAACAGGGAAATAATGAGGATGGATGCCCGTGCGCGCCAAGATGTTGCATTTCTTGGTTCAGAGTTTCTTAAGCTTGATGGTAAATTCTTCACTCGGTTCTCAAGCTTTGATACATGATGAAAGAATCATATTCAACTGACTATTAACAATTGGAAAAGGTCTCCTGCTGGGAACCAAAGTTCAGTACTTTGATGAATGCTGCTTATAGAATGCACATACAGAGAAATATTGTATAGTGGTATTCGTGAAGGAGATAGGAAAAATATCAGTTCGATAATAACTTTTGTCGTTTGATGTTGGTGATAAACTCGTCGGAGTCTGATTGGTTACCTTTTTTTTTCTTTAAATAGCTCGGGCACGGGAAGATACTGAGAAAGTTGATCATGATGTCAAGAAAAGAGCCGAAAGAATCCATCATGTTGCCACAGTAAGAGAGTTTGTTCATATACTTATCTACCATAAGATATGTCATCGGGAATGCTTATTAATTGTGCTTAACAGATTCTTAAAAACAAAGCTCAATCGGGACTGAAGAAAGCTGCCGATCGACACTGGAGCGATGGTGCCTTGGAGGTGCTCTTTTTTATCATTTTTATTAGCTTTATCTAGAATTTTGACGCAGTGTTCCAAGTTGCACAGTTTTCTCCTGTATTACTCTCCAACATCTTTGAACATCTTCTCTTAGTTTCTTATGGAAAATGTCTTAGCTAAATGTTTTTGTACTCGGGAAAATAAGGGAGTTGAAAACTTTTTCTTTGACGTATCATCCTTGCTAAAATATCTTCAGTTCTTTGAGCTTTTTGATCCTCAACAAGGCATCATTTAAAGCCAAAAAGCCAATCATAAAATTGATAAACCAGAGGGAGATCTTGTTTAAATGGGTAGTATCTTCAAAGATCTAAAAGGTTATAGCGATCAAAGATCTAATGTGTAGAAGCGGCACATGTAATCAATGATCTAATTTATAGCAGCTTTTATTTCGTCTAATAGAGATTAGCAGTATAAATAAAATATCCATAATGAGTCGGATATTATCTACTGGTGGTGGCTTGTAGTTTTTGCTGGCGTCTTCCCTTTGCACTGAAAGGACCTAACTGAGTGTGGGAGTGATGTTTAATGACTAGCACAACATGTGCACCATAAAATGCTGCAACCTTGTACAAGTCACCTTCTGTTCAATAAGTTTATTAATGGATTGGTCATGCGTTGTGTTTAGTATTTTCATTGATAATTCAGAAGTTAAAATCTTCATCAACCTGCAGATTTGGTTTCTGTTACTGAATCTGAACATTGAGAGCAGATTGTAGCTTGTTGGCCGCATCACTGCCTTTGCTAGAAATTTATGTTGCTTTTCACATAGATAGCTTCATCAAAATTTATTTGGTGGTTAATGTAAGTAATCTAAAAGTAGCTGTTTTTCCCAATAATCAGGCTGATTTAAGACGTGCTGATTTTGTGGCAAAACAACGCGCAATGGAAGACTCTCTGATGGCTTTGGAGGTACTGTTATTGCAAAAAATGGATTCAGTCTTTCATATGATGTGTTATATGACGATATATTTATTTACTTCCTCTGCTTTTATCAATGACTGCACTCGTTTCTCTATATTTCTTCTTTTTTCATGGTTTCTTGTGTTTTGTTGTCTTTTAGTTTGTCAAGAACATTCATGATAGGATGGTGGGCAAAATGTACAAATTGTAAGTTCATCTAGTTATTTCCTTGCAGAAATAACCGGAAGAAAATAATCTATCTGAATAAAAACTTCATTTCATCTTCCTACTTGATCTTTGCTCTGTTCAGGAAAAGAAGTTCAGTAGATTCAGAGAAAACAAGGCATATTACACTTGAGAAGAATGGGAAAACTCTAGAGTTTCTTCCTGGGGAAGTTTCTGCTGATCGCATCACTGCTATCCAGGTATTGAGCCTTTGTTTACTTTCGAAGTTCCAATGATTAAAATGAATCTTTCCGATATGTATAATTGTATGTTACCACCTGCAGGAAGCTTATTTGGATATAGCATCAGCACTTTCCGAAGCTGATGGAATTGACTATACTGATCCAGAAGAGGTCCTAACTTAAAAAAGTTAAATTGATCCCTCCGTCCCAATTTATGTGGCACCCGTTTGACTTGGCACAAAGTTTAAGAAAGATAGAAAGACTTATAAGCCTTAGACATTTGTGTGGCCATAAATCATCTTAAAAAAGGGTAAACTAAAATTTTTGCAACTAAATTGTTTCTAAATATAGAAAGGTGACATTCTTTCTGGGACAGACCAAAAAGGAAAGAGTGCCACATAAATTGGGACGGTGGGAGTACTAATTAGTTGCTATGACCTTTGATGTATTTATGCTCTATTACATATCTCATTTCTATTATATATTTCCGGATTGGAGCAGCTCGAGTTGTTGGTTGCAACACTAATAGATCTTGATGCAATGGATGGTAAAAGTAGTGTATCATTGCTTGCTGAGTGTTCAAGTTCTCCTGATGTAAATACGAGGTTGGCTTTTTTACTCTCTTTTGACATTTCTATGAAATGAATGATAGACCCTGTGATATAATACTTGAGGCTGTGAAACTAAACCTCAAATATATAATACTTGAGGCTCCCAAATTAGTGTTTCTGCTCCTTGAAATCAACTGCACTTCCAACTTCTTTTGTCTAATATCATCTTGATACGAAGATGAAGGCGTTTTACCACCCTTGTTTCTAATATGTCACATTTACGGTGCCCTCTAGAATTGTCATGCTTGTTACATGTCTCACAATACCCATCATTTTCATCTATTTGCAATTGTTGAGAAGCCTTTGCCATTTTATATCTAATCTCTGACTCGGAGACACTTCAAAAAATTTCGGGAAATTTTATGGTGTAGGAAAGCATTAGCAAATGCACTCTCAGCTGCACCGTCAATGTGGACTCTGGGAAACGCTGGCATGGGAGCGTTGCAGGTACTTGAACGGAAACCTGCATTTTCTCGTATTGTCGTCAGTTAACATTAAAGGTAATGGAATGCTTTGTTATGTGTCCATAGAGACTGGCGGAAGATGACAACCCGGCCATTGCTGCTGCTGCATCAAAAACCATTCTCGAATTGAAAAGACAGTGGGAAATAGGAGAGGGAGATAGCTGGAGGTTAATGGTGGAGGAAGAGTCACCCGACGATGAAGGGAGCTAAGACGACAACTGGACATATTAGAACATGAGCGCTCGTAACTCAATACTGTAGATATCTAGATGAATGGACTAATTGATATTTTGGAGTCCTGTGAAAAATAGTTCATAAGCTCTACTTACATTAGAAAAAGAAACAAAAATATCCTAAATGATATTCATCCTTTCATGTAGCTTGTTGTCTCTTTGGATCTTTGATATTTATGTACAAGAAGTCTAAAGCAACACTTTATTCTTCTTATACAGGGCAGATTTCAGATAAATATTTTGTTCTGGTGAATGTTTGACAGACAGATGACTTTCTATTAAAGAAAAAAAAAAAAGGCAGCCTGGCGCACTAAGCTTCCGCTATGCGGGGGGTCCGGGTAAGGGCCGGACCACGAGGGTACTAAGCTTCCGCTATGCGGGGTGTCCGGGTAAGGGCCGGGCCACAAGGGTCTATCGTACGCAGTCTTACTCTACACTTCTGCAAGAGGTAGTTTCCACGGACATCTGTGTTAGGTTGGCTCATGGATCACTAATTAGTCGGATGAGCCCATCTTCTGGCATATCATTTGTCTCAGCTAGTGTCGTTCTTGTTTCCGTCGTCTATCAATCTATCACTAAATCACAAGCCACTTTTCATTGTCTAATTTTGCTGTCTGACCACACTTGAAATTATGTATCTACTTATCGTTCTGTCCACCAAAACTTGGACAAATGGGAAGAAATTATCAATATTTTGCCTCTAGGTTCTGAATCCACTTCATTGACCACCCACATACTCAATGCACAGAGGACCCAAATTATGTAATAATGCATATTAGTTAGATTAGACTTCTAATAATGATCAAAGTCATGGCTGGTTAGCATTATTGAACTATACTTGTTTTTATTACTCAAATTTATCTTCTTTATATTCTTTTAATCTTTTATTTCAACAATAACATATCCAGTGTAATCCCATAAAGTGGGTTCTAAGAGGATACATTGTACGCAAACCTTATCCCTACATTTGTGAAAGTAGAAAGGTTGTTGTCAATGTCAAAGTTAAATATTTATATGGTCGTGCTTCATTAAAAAAAATTGCATTTGGCTTTTTATATATACTCGTTTTTTGACACGTGCTTCGCACATGTATACCTAGCATCTATCATACTTAACATGTAGCAAGTGAAAAAAAATTATTACATAAACTGCATATATATTCTAAAGTGATTGAGTTATAAAATAAAATTTATAGCATACAAAAAGTTAATAATTGTATATCATTAAATATATCTTTAACTCTGAATTTCGTATATTTACTACAATTTTTTAACAATGGAAAAGAAAGGAAAGAAAACGAAAAAGTAAGATCAAAGAAAATCTACTACTCTAAACCATCCTTAGGGAAATGGAAATCATTTCATTGTCTTTATATAGTTCTCTCTTGGTTGGTGTTCTTTGGGCTTTCCTTATATATTTATTAATTAATAGAATTAACCTGCTTTAATTTACTTAGGTGAAACTCCTCACTTTCTACAGATTTTTGTATACCGAATAGGCTGGTTAAGTTAGTGCGTTGGTTAATGAAGGAATAAGTTACAAGAGTAATATAGGAGATGTAGTGAAAACTTTGATTTGTAAATAATAATTTAAAATAATGCAGCTAGAATTATTCATTTAATAGAAGGTTTTTGAGGTGAAGAACAAAATGGTCACTCAGCTTCTAATGGGTAATTTGGTAATTCAACCTTAACTTTGAATGTTTATATATATATGCTCTAACATCATCCATTAATTTATGCAGACGACAATCTGAATTCGGAAGGAAATCAACGCAACAATAATAATTAGTGGGGTATGTCAAAGAAAAGTTTGTTGTTTCATTTTTGACATTAGTAATGTTGCCTTATTTTTCAATTATTTGTATTTTTAGTTCCTCAATTATAAGATTACTCTCCTCACCCCATCCTAAATAGAAAAATTGTTAATATGTCACGACCCGGATTTCCCACCATCGGGAGTTGTGATGGCGCCTGCTAATGTAAGCTAGGCAAGCCAATCCTTTAAACTAATTGCTTCATTATCCATTTATTTCTTTTTAACAAACATAAAGCGATAACGTATAAACAACGGAAATTTAATTTAAACGGAAGAAAATAATAAAATATCTGAAATCAGAATAACTGCTTAAGCCTTAATCACCCAAAACCTGGTGTCACGGTGTCACAGACGGTCTAAGATTTACTACATACAAAGTCTGAAGAAATAACAATACACTGTTTCTGAATTAAGGAAAATGAAACAGGGAATAAGGGATAGAGGGAGACGCCAGGGCCTGTGGACGCCTGCAGGTCTACCTTGGATCTCCGCGTGGACTGAAGGTAGACTCCAAACTACGGTCCAAGAGCTGCTCCGGGATCTGCACATAGTGCAGAGTGTAATATCAACACAACCGACCCCATGTGCTGGTAAGTGCTTAGCCTAACCTCGGCGAAGTAGTGACGAGGCTAGGACCAGACTACCAAATAAGCCTGTGCAATTCAAATATATACAGCGGAAAAGATGTACATAAATAAACAGTCGAATATGGGAGGGAGAGCATGCTACGGAGGAAATATCAATTCTGAATAGAAAGACAACAGGTAAATGTAAGAAGCAATATATCTCAGATATCAATAAAAGAACCAGAAATCAATAAATGCACGACATCACCATTCGTGCTTTTACTCTCGTCCTCACCAAAACAATCAAGTAATGAAAACGTGCACGGCATCACCCTTCGTCCTTTTACTCTCTTTCCTCACCATATAATCAATATAATCGGCACGGAATGGTACATCGTGCGGCACGACATCACCCTTCGTGCTTTACACTCTTTCCTCATAATCATACACGGCATCACCCTTCGTGCTTTACACTCTTTCCTCACAAAAACAATGCACGACATCACCCTTCGTGCTTTAACTCTCTTCCTCACCCAAACAACAATCACAAACAATAGGGCAAGAGAATAAATGAAATTATAATAAGAATCCCGGCAAGGGAACAACAATTCAACAATTAAGTCCCGGCAAGGGAGCAACATCAATAACGTCAACATCCCGGCAAGGGAGATAACAAATAAAGCAATAATAGCCCGACAAGGGGGGCAACATAATGATCTCTTCTCTTTCTCACTTTTACTTCACAATTCACTTCACAACTCGAGCCAATGCTCTAAAGGTTCAATTATCACTTATACTTTCACAATTCACTTCACAACTCGAGCCAACGCTCCTCAATGTTCATAGGTCACAATTCCTTCCACAAACTTTACACAACAAATAGAAACCATCACCAAGGCATGAAAGATACTCGAGCTAATGCTCTAAAGGTTCAATTATCACTTATACTTTCACAATTCACTTCACAACTCGAGCCAACGCTCCTCAATGTTCATAGGTCACAATTCCTTCCACAAACTTTACACAACAAATAGAAACCATCACCAAGGCATGAAAGATACAACAAAGTCATGATAATCACAATATAAAGACTCACGGGCATGCTAGACACCAACGTATAGATACTCGTCACCATGCCTATACGTCGTACTCAACAATTACCACATAGCAATTAGGACTCGACTCCTAATCCCTCAACCTAAGGTTAGACCAAACACTTACCTCGATGCAACGAACACAATTCACGATTCAATTATAGCTTTACCCCTTGACTCCACCACCAATTCGCTCATATCTAGTCACAAGTTACTTAATTACATCAATAAACGCTAAATGAGTCAACCCCAATGCATGAAAATGAGTTTTCCAAAGTTTTACCTAAAAAGTCAAAAATCGCCCCCGGGCCCACATGGTCAAAACCCGAGGTACGAACCAAAATCCAATTACCCATTCCCCCACGAACCCAAATATATAATTTGTTTTGAAATCGGACCTCAAATCGAGGTCCAAATCCTCAATTTTTGAAAAACCTAGGTTCTACCCAAAACACCCAATTCCCCCATGAAAATCATTGATTTTGAGTTGAAATCATGTTAAAAGATGTTAATGATTGAAGGAAATGAGTTAAAATTAACTTACAATCGATTTGGAAGAAGAGTTGTTCTTGAAAAATCGCCCTAGGGAGTTTGTGTTTTGAAAAGATGTGAAAATGGGTTAAAAATTCGTCTAAGTATAAAAGTTGCAGGTTGCAGATGTGATAAAAATGCGAACAGGGGTTCGCAATTGCGAACCCCGACCTCTGCTATGTTGGGAATTGAGAAGGGGGGCTCACATTTGCGAGCTGGGAATTGCGAACCAAGCATCGCATTTGCGATCAAGGCCCAAATTCGGGAGTTTCGCATTTCCGATAGTGGAGCTGGCCTGGCTTCCGTCGCAATTGCGACAATCCACTCGCATTTGCACTATCGCATTTGCGAGCTAGACTTCGCAAATGCGAAGCCTGCAGGCCTGCTATGCACAGCTGAAAATCTGCAATTTTTCTAAGTCCAAAATACACCCCGTGGCCTATCCAAAACTCACCCGAGCCCTCGAGACTCCAAACAAAATATACACACAACCTCAAAAACATCCTATGGACTTATTCGTGTAATCAAATCACCAAAATAACATCATGAACATCGAATTAAACCTCAAAATCAATGAAATTTCTCAAAACTTCTTTAAACATCAAATTTTGTATTTAAGGTCCGAATCACGTCAAATGGATTCCGTTTCTTACCAAACTTTACCGACAACACATATAAATCATATTGAACCTGTACCGGGCTCCGGAACCATAATACGGGCCCGATACCATATGTTTCACATAACATTTTACTTTCAAAAACCTTTATATTTTTCAGAAAATAATTTCTTTCAAAAATTCATTTCTCGGGCTTGGGACCTCGGAATTCGATTTCGGGCATACACCCGAGTCCCATATTTTCCTACGGACCCTCCGGGACTGTCAAATCACGGGTCCGGGTCCGTTTACCCAAAACGTCGACCGAAGTTAAATTAATTCATTTTATAGTCAAAATTTATCATTTTCACAGATTTTTACATATAGGCTTTCCGGCTACGCGGGACTGCGCACGCAAATCGAGGTGATGCTAAAAGAGGTTTTTAAGGCCTCGGTACACATAATTCATTTTAGAAACAGGTGATGACCTTTTGGGTCATCACATAATAGTACTTTCTTTTCATATTATGGATAAAGTATTTTTTTTTAACGTCAACAAACGAATATCCTTTTTACAGGTGATGGCCAGGGATCATCCTCTCAATAGGACAGAAAGGAGGAATCTTCCTAGGGCGCGATATAGATAAA